GGATGCAGCCGTCGTACTGTGTATGACTTGGGAGGTCGTCTACAACAAAGTGGCACCACTTCTGATCGCCGAAGGTCGGGTCGTCCACGTGAGCAGAAGACCGTCAAATCCTACGAGCACCTACGTGACAGATTTCTGCCGCCCACGAACCAGGGCTGAGATCGTTTAGGGTCCAATACCATTCGAAATCGCCTGCCAATCTCCATTCTCGACGTCCATATCGTGGGCCAATATTGACGCCGTTTCATCAACGTCAACGTTTGCTGTGGGCCCAACGTCACCTCCGATGGACCCAGAGAGACTGGAATCGATCGTCTTTAGCGATGAATCCAGGTTTACACTCAGATTCGCGGACAGTAGGCATACACCAATGTTGTGTACAGGAAGTCGATAGATTCGGGGGCGGAAGTTGCATGGTGTGGGGTGCTTTCTGGGGGAACAACCGTTCCCGACTTCTGGTCATCCGTGGAAACCTCACAGCTGCTGCTTACCGCGACCAGGTGCTCACCCCTGAACTCGTTCCTTTCATGGCGGCTCATGGCCCAGGTCTACAGTTCCAGCATGATAATGCTCGGCCGCATACCGCGATGTTGACACGAAATTTCCTTCAAAACGCTGGAATCAACGTCATGGACTGGCCATCGAGGTCCCCTGACCTTAATCCAATAGAGCACGTTTGGGATGCACTTGGGAGAAGGCTTCGTGGTCTTAGGAACCAACCTCAGAATTTGCAGGAACTTGGCGCTGCCTTGCAAGAGCAATGGCGCAGAATCCCCAACCACGTGTTCACAAGCATCAGGCAGTCGATGAGGAGACGGTGTTTGGCAGTGGTGAATGCGCAGGGCGGCCATACACGATATTGAACTGAGAAATTTCGCATTTTTATTCTTGTGACTTGACATTCTGTATACCCATGTTTTGGAACGGCGGTGTAGCCTAGTGGAACTGATTATGGCACTGTCAGTGTATCGAGTACATCACACAGATCTCCGCAATGAAATAATAACAATTTAACCATCTTACCATCTCTTGTTCTTTTATAGTGCCCTGAAGAAAGAATGTGAAGTTTCTTTTTTGACTCAGTATATATCAAGAAACCCGTGTATGGTCATAAGATACAGTACAACCAGAAATTATTGAGAATTTAAGATTGTAATTATTTATATTTTTTTCACTCATTACTCACGTATAAAATGTGATTATTAGCAGAACATAACTCCAGATTCAAAGACAGGTGAACAGTTAGTATTTTGTCAAGTCACCATCGGCAGCAATGCAGGCTTCTATGCGGTGGGGCATACTACTGATCAAAGAAGTTAGAAAGTCGTGGTCCATGCTGTCCCAATATCGGACCACCTCTTCTTTCATTTCAGCAATATTTGTCAGATTTTTCAGATTGACACTTTCCCTCATAAGTCCCCAAACATTTTCTATTGGATTTAGGTCAGGGCTATAGCTTGGCCAATCTAATAATGTTATATTTTGGGTCCGAAACCAGGCCTGTGAATGCTTTGAACGATGTTTTGAGTCGTTGTCCTGCTGGAAATCCAAAAAGTTCCATAGAACACGTGAGCAGATGGAAGTAAATGTCCCTCGAGAATATCTGTGTACCGCTCACTGTTCATATTCCCTTTAAATACACAGAGGGCCTTTGCCCCTAACACAGATATGCCACCCCACACGTTAAATTTCGGACTGTACTTCAGGGGGCTGATACAAAGGTTTTTCAGTTTGTTTGGTCCAGAATTTCAGTGTATTAGGAAACAGCCACACAGAACTTTCATCTGAGAAAATCACACTGTCCCAATTAAAATTTCTATGCTGTAAGCACCAGTTCAACCTTCGCTCCTTTTGTTCAGGTTTCATGATCGGTGATGGAATTCCTCGACTTTTCTGCCAACCCATTACATGCAGCTCAGTTCTAATTGTCTCCTTACAGACAGCCACAGTTCCTCTATCAATCATGTCCAGCCTTAAGTTTTCTAAACTCCTTCGGGTTTTTTTAGAAACAAGAATACCAAACCGCCTCCTGTCACCGACAGTCAATTTTCTGGGCCTACCTGCGCCTCCCTGGTGCTCAATGCCATATCCATTTGCAATATTTTTCTTGAAATCACTGATCACTTTAGCTGATCTGATGTCCTTGTTATAATACTCTAAAATCAACTTCCTCTTCTCTAAATCATCCATAATGAGGATCACTGAAAATGTCGTCTGCTAGCAAGTAAAGAAAGGGGGATAACTCTTCACAAACTAATGAACAAGGATTAACGGAGTTGTCTCTCTTGAATGAAACTAAGCACTTGATAGATGGTCAAGGTTGTTTAAACTAGAAATCCAATTAAACATATTCCTAATATTCTCAATAATTTCTGGTCATACTATGAGTAGGAACCGCCGGAGAAAACAAGGTATACCATTGAGGTTCTTGAGAGGCATTATGGATGCCCGAGAGGCATTAACTTCTTCTTCATTGCATACACGTTCAGGGCTTTTCCTTGCCCCTTCATCAGGTATACCCTTGAAAAAGCAATTTAACCCTAAAATTACAGACGTTATCTGAACATTTATCCAGGTGAAAACAAAGCAAACACTGAAAACTAAAGGTTAATAGTACAACAATGAGTGAGTGAATTTAGGTTTACGCCGCACTCAGCATTATCCAGCTTTATAGCGGTGGTCTGTAAATAGTCGAGTCTGGACCAGACAATCCAGTGATCAACAGCATTAGCATTGATCTCCGCAATTGGGAACCGATAACGTGTCAACCAAGTCAGCGAGCCTGACCACCCGATCTCTTTAGTCGCCTCTTACGACAAGCATGGGTTACTGAAGATCACTATTCCAACCCGGACTTTCACGGGTATATACAGCAAATATGCTTATATCAAATACCATCCCCGTCGGAAAACCATATTTTGTTTTGTTTCTTAGCCAGCATCGAACATTGGCATATGCCGCGCAATTTGCATTGTAGTGAGGCCTTTGTCCTTGTTTTGTTTGTTTGTTGTTTAACGCAACACTCAACAATATTCCAGTTAAATGCCAGCGGTCTGTAAACAATCGAGTCTGGACCAGACTATCCAGTGATCAACATCATGAGCATCGATCTACGCAATTGGGATACGATGACATGTGTCGGCCAAGTCAGCGAGCCTAACCACCCAATCCACTTACGACAAGCATGGGTTACTGAAAACCAATTCTAACCCCGATCGGTACAGGTCCAGAAGGAAGTAAACCTAAGGCTTGTTTCAGGGTTCCTGCACATTTTGTTGTTTAACGCCACACTCAACGATTTTCCAACTATACGAGGCGGTCCGAGAATCATAGTACAGTGGACTCCATCTAAACCGACACCCCTCTAATCCGCCATTCCCTGTAAACCGATATATTTATTTGGTCCCGAATTTGCCCCCATATGGTATCATATAAGAAACTCCCTCTAATCCAACATCCCTCTAATCCAAATTCCTACACTCAAATCCGGTCCCAAAACATGTTTTGGTGCAAATTGACTCGAAACCGACATTGTAATTTCACAAGAGATTGCATCAGCCAACACATAGTGTGTATTTACCAATCAACACGCATGGGCGAGAGGTGACCTGGCAAGGTGTAATAGGATTACCTGTTAATTTCTTACTAATTACTTGTTCAATGGATTCATAGATTGGTGAAATCACATATTATGATTCATTGACATCATCTAGCATGAGTATTGCCACTACCAACACGTATTATAGTATAATAAGAGGTCACGGTCGGTTACTGCACTACAAGTGCCACAAAAGTAGACTACAAGTGCACTACAAGTGAACGACATGTGCACTTAAGGGTAAAGTGGCTACCCCGCCTCCTAAGAGAGTAAGGACTGAGTAAACTCTAGAGATCAACAGGAATTGTTTCAGGACTAATTTTGGATTCAGTTTCTAAAAGCTCCCTGTAAACCGACATCCCTCTATACCGACATTTTTCATCGGTCCGGAGCGATGACGGTTTACAGGGAGTCCACTGTATCTGGACCAGACCATGGTTGCCATCTTGAACATCGGTATAGACAATCTAGTCTGACACGAAATGTACACGCTTTCTCAATCATCCCAGACAATATTAAACACAACGTTCCCTTGTTGTTCATTGAATAAATGGCACCGAAAATAAACACTGTCAGTGATTGTTATACATAGTATTCAGGTGAAAGTCATCTATTTTAATAATTTCCCTCTTTCCAAAAGTGTAGAAAATAGATGAAACATGGTTTTCCTTCAGAAAGACAAGAGATTGTGAATGAGTAGATTCCATATGCCATGAATGGTCAGTATGCAAAATTTTTTTTACATGTGTTCATCCACATACGTACATCAAATCGTTCCATTTTCTTTGCAGTGGCGACGTTCTAAGCATGGAGAGGTTCTGTGTTATTATATTTATTATCCTTACACTGGCTTGTACAGTACATGGTGGAATAAGGAAAAGATGCTTCTCGTACTGCAACTGCAGTCCTCCTCTAATGCAGTGCCGTGGCAAACCGGCCGGTATTCCAAAAGCTTTTCCCAAACGTTACAATGGTCGAACTTGCTCGCATAGATCTAGGATACCTCACCAGGAACATGATGGCTAACTTAACATACTGCCACCTCAAATCCCTTACAGTGGACAGAAATAACATCACTGGAATAGCATCAGATGCATTCGAGGACCTAACCTTTCTCCAGTTACTGAAATGGCAACAGCCAAGCTTCCTTCTGAAAGACATTATATCAGCACTGCAAAATATCCACAGTGATCTACAGAGCCTCACGCTCTATGCGGACAGTGGAATCAACAAGACCCTTGACGCTGAAGTATTCCAACACCTTACATCACTTTGCAAATTGACGCTTTTTGTTACGGGAATGGAAGTTTTCAACGCTACTCCTTTATCACATGTCCAAAACCTGTCACGATTAGAACTATCTCAACATTCTCTTCGTTCATTTATCGTGGAAAACCCGTTGCAAAATCTATCGTCCCTGATACTGAAAGGAAATAGTCTTGTCGGGAGTTCCTTCCCTATGTGCAGAAGGTGGCTTGACTTTAACTCCTAGGTTAATAAGGTTGGATATGCGGAACAATAACATCAGAAGATTGGACCTGTCCCCTCTCGCATGTCTGCCGAACCTACAGAACTTGTTGCTTTCAAAGAATAGAATTGAACATTTGCCACACAACGCCTTTGTCAACCTTCCCAAATTACAAAGTTTACACATGTCCGACCTCTGGGCTTTGAAATCAGTTCGAGAATTTGCATTCAATTCCACAAGCTTGTATAAACTGGTCTATTCCAACAACCCATCATTTACAGGTGATCGCACTATTCAGGGAACCTTTTTTAAATTCACTCCCAATCTCGGTATTCTCCACCTCGACAGGACGAATCTACATATCTTTGGGGATAAGTTGAGATTATTTCTTCAAAACCTGAAAAATATTGAGTATCTCTACATGCAATCTACTGGACTCACCGAATTACCCTGCAATGTGTTTAGTCAACTGAAAAAATTACGCAAGTTAGACTTAATGGGTAATAACTTACCGAACCTAACCAGTGGTGCGTTTTCAAATGTTACAAGTATACAAAACCTTAACCTGGCTTCGTGTAATATAAAAATCATAAAGGAGGACACGTTTCCTCTAAACTTCCGTCTCAGTGTAAAAGAGATCAGTCTGAGAAACAACCACTTCACTTGCACTTGTGACCTGCTGTGGTTTAGGACCTGGATGAAGGAGATCATTGCCAATAAAAGCATAAAGTTTACAAATTATCCGTGGGGATACGATTGTACGTTGCCGCAAGGAAAACGTATCAGGCTTGAGAATTATAATCCTACTGAACAATCGTGCGCCCTGACAAAGTTGTACACTGTTATTATGACCTCTGTGCTGTCTGTGTGTTTGACGTTAACAGTTGCAGTGCTGGTGGGTTATCGCTACCGCTGGTATCTTCTTTACTGGATTTCACTCCTTCGACGAAAACAGCAACGTCAACAGCAACGTCCTTCAGAAAACATGAAATATGACGCTTTCGTTTCATACAGCAATTCCGATGGAGACTGGGTCTACGACGAGCTTCTGAACTTCCTGGAAGGTGAGGTTGGGCTACGACTGTGTGATCACAGCAGAGACTTCGAAGCCGGTAGATTTATTATAGACAATGTGTTTGATGCCATGGAGACCAGCAGGAAAACCATCCTGGTAATCTCTAACGAATATATGAAGAGCGCCTGGTGTCAGTTGGAGCTTCAGTTAACCCTCAGCTCCCATCTGAAGCAGAATGTCGAAATTGTTGTGGTCCTTCTCGAGCATATCCAGACATGTCAAGTGACATCGCCACTACGTGCTCTGATGATGTCAACAACATACATCGAATGGGCAGATGATGAGGAGGCCAAGGCTCTGTTTAGACAGAGAATCAAACAGTCCATTGCCCAATAAATATGTATACAAATACCTATATACCAGTATTTCCATTGAGTAAATGACATAGTCTTTAAATTAATTCCAGGACGAAACCGATCTAATCAAAGACAAAACAAACTTGCTACTGATACGACGGAACAGACTTTCTTGATGTTGTCAATAGGATACAAAGATACGCCACCACAACCACCCAAGACGCTCTACCGTCCACCACGTCACTTACCATGAAAAGTCAAATTCTTTAATACCGCATAAATTCACTCCTATTCTCAAGACAATTTCATATTCGACGAATCACACCCCTAATCAAAGTTCAAATGTCAGTTTAGTTCATTCCATCCCATTCTTCCGCCAAGGCATCGACAAGTCCATTGAGAGTGGTCGGTGGTTGTTGACGAAGAGGTACGCACAGTCCAAGAATATCCACGATACATTCGATTGGTGACAAGTCTGGACTGAATGCTGGTGATAGATGTGCAGGATGTTGCCATGGAGGTACTGCCTATTGATCAAGGTGTCACAGTCACAGTGATCCCACCCCACACCATTACTGAGCCACCCCTAAAATGATCAATCTGTCAAAGGCATGAAAACGTTCATTCCGTCTCTGCGACTCTCTGTTGTGCTTGTCAACGAAGTCCAAAGTTAACCTTGACCAACGTTTTCGTTCAGCGGCCCTTGACACCAACGACTCATTGCTGTTATGTGACAGTCCTTTATTCATGGGAAAATATGTGAAATATTTTTAGCTGAATAGCTCTGACACCTCTAGCTCTGTGAAGCTTAAAATGCAATTTGAGTAAATTGTCGGTATTGTGATTGTAATCTGCTTGTTACGGACTCTGAAATGCTAATAGCCTGTGCCACAATGATCTGTCTTGTTCTAACTTCCAACATGCCAGTTGCACGTAGCCCTTCCTGACGTGGCTTACGCCTCATGTCAAAATGTGTCTAATTTTGTTTAAAATAATATCTGAAGATCTTTCAGTCAGGTTTTTAACACTGAAATGTACAGCAACACAGACCAAATTCACTGTATATTTCCTGACGTTGCCTTTACCACAGTTGCATCCTTCCTTGTTTATTATTGCCTTTGTTGTTGTGTAATATTTTGTATGATCCTGTTTCTCAAAAAGTCATGCACTTACACTAGTCCACCTCTTAACTGAGTGGACCAAGTGCATTATTTTTATGTTTTCATTTTTGCATCGTTTCTGTAATAAATGCCACATTTTATTTAGATTGTTTATAGTTTTGAGTATAAACAAAGAAGAATCAGAGATTTTATTCTGAATGACCACCTTCCTGCCCTGACACACTCTTTAACTACTAGGCTACCCCACTGCCCCTCATTATCATTGGTATTTGGCATCTCATTTTATGAAATAATGAACACTATGAACATTGAAATCCTCTAAGCACACTTTGCCTCATGATTGAAACAAGAAAACAGGACACAGAAAGTTAACATAAAATATCATTTACTGATTACACAACAAGTTTGATAAAGCTTCATAAAACACAATGTAAAGATAGATACAAAACCTTGAGACTCCTGATTATCTTTGGTATGAACTTTAACCAAGCAGGGACTATTTTAAGGATTATTGTTGATACCAACAGTTGACACAGAAACAAAACATTTTGATGTATGCCTTAGTGAGCAATATTCCAGCTACATATACATCATCATGGTTGCTGAGAGCCATGTCTGGACCAGACAAACCAGTGGTCGATATTGTGAGCAATGTGCAACGCTTCAGGGTACCATCAAAATCAGTAGCTTCAATTGATTTTCTGACACCAGGGTCACATATTTTCTGATTTGTAGGTTGGTTGGTTGGTAGGTTGTTTGATGCCACACTCAGCAGTATTCTAGCTATATGGCAGCAGCCTGTAAGTAATCGTGTCTGGACCAGACAACCCAGTAATCAACAGCATGAGCATCGATCTATGCAACTGGGATATGATGACATGTGTCAATCAAGTCAGTGAGCCACCCAATTGACCACCCAATCCTGTAAGTCACCTCTTACAACAAGCATGAGTTACTGAAGGCCAATTCTAACCCGGATCTTCAAGGGTCCTGATTTGTAGGGGCTTAGCACAGCACTAAAGAAATACCATACTGTATATCCATCTGAAGTGACCTTGCTCTCTAAAGAAACTAGCTCTTGTACAAAATATATCGATACTGAAACCTAAAAGTATGTGCGATCACATCTATTTATTACTACCTGATAATGAATTATGATAATCAGGTTGGTATGGTCAAATAGGATGTTCAAACTGTTGACAATGTACATAAAAAAATGCACTGGTCCAAACACATCAAGGTAGGCTCGTCACTCTTTTTTCCTCAGTGTACTGGCCCTAAAGACAGCCACACTACTTATATATACTGAGAGAAATAAATAAAGGAACACAGGAAACTCCAAAGCATTCCTTTAATATTTTCCAGTTTTCATCACCAGCTTTAAATAGCACTATTGGAGGAAATCTGAGAATAAATAAAGGAACACTGCCATGAAGTGGTGTTCCCTTATTTGTTCCCTTCAGTATATTTCTGTAATGAAACTAACTACAGAGTACCATATACCAAAAATGGCATTAAATGTAAACATTGCAAGAAACAATTTTATTCTGAAAATTTGAATAAATGTACATACGTAAAATAATTAAAGGCAACATGATCCATCTTCAGCCAAACTTACACAAGAAATGTTCTAGTTATGTTCTAAAATATCACAGTGTGACAAGTGAATTTATTATCAGTTACTTTTGTTTACTGAGAATTTGAGTATAAAAATTGCAGCCCAAAGAAACTTATTACCAATTTAAGTTACAATGCTGCAAACACAACGCTGGCTAATATTATTCTTAACATGGGACATTTTCACTACGCATGCATCCCTTCACAAACAAAACTGCACTGAATTGGTCTTCCTATGAATAATAAACAATATGAAATTAATCATAAATTACACGATGCAATATCATATTCAGCCTATCTAAATTTAATCTAATGAAATATACATATTAATCATAACTGTACAATTTTGATGAATTTTTTGACATTTTTAATAAAATAAATATGTATCAATAACAAGAATATATTCTTCAAGAAGTCCTGAAAATAGGACGATATAAGGAACAAACTGGTCAATATCATATATAAAAAACAGTCAGTCTCAACAAAAGGATGAGGGGGTTCATTTAAAATTACAGACCTCAAAGAATGAAAATTGGTGAAGCATCAAAGCCCATAAGTGTGTAGCTTGGCTTGTACTCCAGAAATATCATAGGACGGCTGGGTGGGTACATAAAATGGGGTTTTGGGGGGTAAGTTTACATTTTTGGCCAATAAAATCATAAGGATTTTATTTTTTGAGCGGGGAAAATTAATTTTTATTTTTTTCTTATTCTTAAAGAAATTCGACCGGTGGATCCGTAAAACAAGAAATAAAATTGGTCTGGCCTTAGACTGTTTTTTGCCCCATATACACTTCATAAATTGCCAAAAGTAACATACTATGAGTATTTAGAAGGAATATTACTTTGACTGGTGATTTTATTTTGTATTTTTTTTAGCTCCTGCCTTTACTTTTTTCTGAGGAGAAAAATCCATAAGACAAGAAATAAAATTGGTCTGGCCTTATGATGCCTGAATAGAAAAACTTTAAATCCAAACAGAAAGAGTGACTGAGTGGGAATCACTGTTGGGAACATAAAAACAATTATCACAGTAGGGGAGAACAGAAATAGGGTTAACATTGCGTACACAAGTAAAGAATCAAAGAAGGGTTTTTTAGTATGACAAGTAAACATTTCACTGGGCCACACACCACAGACAGGGAGACTTCATGTCTACAAAAGAAAAGAATCTGATTTGTAAAATAACAGCCATGAAAATATATACTGAGTCAAAAAAGAAACTTCACAAAATGTAATTTGAAAAATAATGAATAATTTTTCTCTGATGATACATCTATGTATCCAAAATGGGATCCCTATCTTTCGACTCTAGAAAAACGTTACCAAAACCCACTCAAACCCATCCATTCGTCATGCAAATGACGTTAGTGCCAAATCAGGTTTTGCACGTGCAGTCGATTATGTGATCTTCGCATCGAAGTTTTCTTCATATGCACGTGTTTGCATTGGCCTCAAGAATTGAAAAAACACTTTTAAACCACAGTTCTAACGGTACTTGAAATGCCACGATTGTCAAATGTGCAACGTGAACGTGCCGTTGACATGTTGCAAGCGGGAAGATCAGTTATTGACATCGCAAGAGCAATGGGATGCAGCCGTCGTACTGTGTATGACTTGCGAGGTCAGTGGCACCACTTCTGATCGCCCAAGGTCGGGTCGTCCATGTGTGACATCACGAGCAAAAGACCGTCAAATCGTCCAATGTCACCTACGTGACAGATTCCTGCCGGCTACACAAACCAGGGCTGAGATGTTTAGAGGTCGACTGTCCTCACAGACCATTCGAAATCGGTTGCCGGCTGCCAATCTCCATTATCGACGTCCATATGGTGAGCCAATATTGACGCCATTTCATCAACGTCAACGTCTGCTGTGGGCCCAACGTCGCCACCGATAGAGAGACTGGAATTGAGTCGTCTTTAGCGATGAATCCAGGTCTACCCTCAGATTCGCGGACGGCAGGCATAGAGTCTGGAGACGACATCGTGAACGGTATGCCCAATGTTGTGTACAGGAAGTCGATAGATTCGGGGGCGGAAGTTGCATGGTGTGGGGTGCTTTCTGTGGGAACAACCGTTCCCGACTTTTGGTCATCCGTGGAAACCTCACAGCTGCTGCTTACCACGACCAGGTGCTCACCCCTGAACTCGTTCCTTTCATGGCAGCTCATGGCCCAGGTCTACAGTTCCAGCATGATATTGCTCGGCCGCATACCGCGATGTTGACACGAAATATTCCTTCAAAACGCTGGAATCAACGTCATGGACTGGCCATCGAGGTCCCCTGACCTTAATCCAATAGAGCACGTTTGGGATGCACTTGGGAGAAGGCTTCGTGGTCTTAGGAACCAACCTCAGAATTTGCAGGAACTTGGCGCTGCCTTGCAAGAGCAACGGCGCAGAATCCCCAACCACGTGTTCACAAGCATCAGGCAGTCGATGAGGAGATGGTGTTTGGCAGTGGTGAATGCACGGGCCGGCCATACACGATATTGAACTGAGAAATTTCGCATTTTTATTCTTGTGACTTGACATTCTGTATACCCATGTTTTGGAACGGCGGTGTATATTGAAAATATATTTATGAATATTAACATAATAATCCTGAAATTATTAGTTTGTAAATATTATTTATATTTCTATATCATATTTGGGAAATAAAACTTGTTTTCTCCCTGCAACATATTCATAATTAGCACACTAAGAAAATTGGTATGACTACATATCTAATTTTCAGATATATCAATCACATTTATAGATGTTTCACAGATATCAGCAGTGCATAATCTCTAGATGTTCTTGTTGAAACTTATTAAAATCTAAATATTTTAGATATTTAAATACTTACCTTACCATAGGTCTTATGCATATTACCTCAAGCTCCGCTTAAAGAGATCAGACAGTCGTTGATTTGCCATTCTCTAGAATGGCTACCTCATGTATCGACGAGTGTACAGGAATGGAAGTGACGTGATCTCCCCTCCCGCGCAAGCGCGGTCCATCCAAAATCACTTTTACTGACCAGGTCCGAAGAGCCCAGCGAGGGAAGGAGCATCCAGCGTTGGGAGGGAGTTACCGCCCCATGGTAAGGTAAGTATTTAAATATCTAAAATATTTAGATGTTAATAAATTTTTAACTTACCTTACCATAGGTCTTATGCATATGGATTCGACAGTAGGACGGCGGTGTCGGGCTCCAGAGGACCATCCCATGAAAAAACCACATGCCAAGGGAAAACCAGAAGAAACTACTGAATCGGCAGGCTGTCGCAGGAGGCGCCTGGAACAGGAGACAGATAGTAACTAAAGGCAACCCTAAGGAAAACAAATACACCCAGGGTGTAAGTTAACCTGAAGACCAGAAGGTAAGAAGAAGTAGTTACCTAATGGGCGGTAGGACGGGTGAGTTGCTGAGCAACCACCAGCGGACCAAACGATTGAAGACCTTCCACGTCCTCGACGGCCAAATCCCGCAGGTAATGACTAGCGAAGACAGTAGAGGACTTCCAGAAACATCCCTCCATGA